ATCACCAAGTTATGAATGACAAGGGGGTGTTTTTGCTGGTAAGATGATTTGAAGCCTCCCCTGTGCCCAGGCACACACACGGAAAGAGGTGAGGCCAACAGCAGCACATCCCAGTGAGGCTGGTTTTCAATGGCATTGGCACAGGCACATTCAAGCTCTAGTCCACATCCCATTTTGAGACCACCATTAGGGAGCCCAGCATGTTAATGGCAAAGGGGCTGCTCCCCCCAACAACTGAATAAAGCAAAAGATGCTCTCAAATAAGTGGTTTGTTTATAACAAAAAGCTGCTTTGTGATACTAAGACTAAGGGACTCGCCTGCCCACTAAATGGAATCAAACTCAGTTTCTTTTCTGCTGCTCTTCAATATGGCCCTTCCTTCAAATTCCTTCTTCCTCCCCTGCTCTGCAGTGATCCTTCCTCTCCTCTTTGAAGTCATCTCCTATTTAAGCAAGGCAACAACCTTGGATAAATCTTGGGCAACGTTTTCAGCCCGTAAGTAGAGAACCTTCTCCCATCTTATCTGGCAGTTCATTAAACACACGTTTATTGATTGCTTCCTTCTAATTCTGGTTGTGCAAGGGCTTTTATGCAACGGGTCTTTTATCTGAATGTGTTTTCAAGGGTATGTGTGTGTGTGTGTTGCGGAGGGGCGGCATTTATTGACCACCAGCTGCCATCAACCTCTGCCTTTGTTGGTTCTCTCTCGAACTGGACAAGGCAGCTCCAAACACTTCTTATCAGATTAGGGATTTATGATCTTTCAAGGGGCAATAAACAGCACAAAAATGAGCATTTCCCATCCTCTTTCAACATGTGCCCAGATGCCTTATTGCCCTTCTGAGAGGCTGAGCTGTATTTGCACTTCTTTCCAATACACAGACCACCCCCACCTCCTTTTCTGAGTCAGATGTACCAGTGGGCTACACATCCCTCCCTTGCATGCCACAGTGTAGGTCTTGTGACTGATTACCCTAGTTCCTGCTGCTTGCCAGAAAGCCCATGAGGCCTGGTCACTGAATAAGGTCCTACCTGACAATGTGAGCAATCCGGTGCTAAGGATAATCCCCTGTGCTAGGCTCCCATAAGCCACCACAGCTGCAGAAGATTTTTTGTCTCAGTGGACCTTGGGCTGTTCCAGCCCCTCACTGTAGGAATTGCATCATGTGTCCGGCTGCTTATGACCAAGGCATTAGTCTGGCGGGCCTGGAAATTTGCCTGAGAAACCTAGACGTTCCACTTCCATGCCTGGCATAGAAAAGATTACAGGGAAGTAATCTAAGGACCCAAATAAAGGAACAAGCCTGGTGGCAGTTTTTAGGCCCCTTGTCCCTGCCTGCCTCTACCACTCAAGCACCATCTGACCCCATTTCTCCTTGGACGTCATCTCTTCTAAGCTATGGAAAATCTTTGTAAGTAAGGGCTTGATTCAGGAAGGCACCGGATCCCTCCAGCTCCCACTGATGTCAGAGAGAGCTGAGACTTCTTGGTGCCTTGTAGGATCAGACTCTTGATAAGGTGGAAAGTCCAATGGGAGACAAATGAGGAAGTGAGAGCAGTAGGTAGAAGATGGCGGCGTGCTCCTTGATCTGCAGAAGGCTGTCTGGCAGAGGATGGAGCGGCCGCTTCCTTTGCAGATGCACAGCAAGGCCCTCTCCCAGCTGGCTTCCCTTGGGTTCTTGGCAAATGTACCTCTCCATTTCATGATGCTCCTCTCTGGACTACAGCCCGAGCCTGCATGCATCTGTTGGTGGTGGAAAACAATGCCATTTTCCCTGCTACCTGGATACAGCATGGGGAGCTTTTCAACTCTGCATAGGTGAAAGAGTCCGTGTTAGGGGAGATGTGCTCTCCTGTATAACATGGGAGTTGCAGTGCACAGTTATCCACCTGCTATTTTTAAACAGGAGGCTAAGAGGATCTCACACCAACCTCATGTTGGGTTAATGCCATGCCCTGATGTTAACACCTACATTACTTGATGTGAAATTCAAGAGTCTTCTTATCTCTTCTTGCATGCTGGATTCTCTTGGACCATCCTGACTTCCCACAGGTCCCCAGGTTCCTTAAGGCTACTTACTCACTGCTAGTGAAGGCAGCAGAACCCACTGGATTCAGATTGCCCAGCACAGTCCTCCCATCCCAGCCCATGAGGCAGAGGATACAGAAGAAAACAGATGCTCCCTATGGCATGCAATGTAGACCTGCATCTACTGCCTGAAGCAATGGTAGCTTGGCTTGCATGCCTACACCACCAGAGCAGGTGAGCATCTATAGGAGCAAACACTGGCATGGAGAGCAGGGGAGAAGGTGGCAGAGTAGTGGATGGGTTGCCCTTCATGGAAACAGCAATCCCTCTCCAAAGGACTGAGAAGATGCAGCTCTTGTTTGTCCCACAGTGCCCCAAGAGTCACCCCAAGGGGAGAGATTCAAGAAGATGCCAGAAGGTCATCACCTTCCACCTGAGAGATATATTTTGGGAAGGGGTGGTATAATGTGGCTCTTTCCTCCATTAAGGCCCCTTCTCCGTAAGCCCACCAACTCAACTGCCAACTTCCAGCCAAGGAACAGTGAGAAGGGGATCTCCTTTCCAATACTGACTCTTAATGTTGACTGTGACCCTGAGATGCATAGCTCTGGCCCCTTGCTCTTCAAGACCTTGCCAGGCTGATGGATCCAGCTTTGGCCTTGTGTTCATCAAGGACCTTGGCTAATGACACACTAAGCAGTGATGTGGCCAACACCACAACCAGCCATCTTTGACTCCCCAGCCTGAATGACCAGGTACCCATTTACAGCCAGGGTGCCTGGGGACATGCTTCAGCACAGCTCTGGTGTAAGGCTGAAACACAAAATTGCCCAAAGGGCCAGTTTTGCTCTCTGGTGTTGATACCCCAGATCTCAAAACTTCTCCATATCTCTAAGGGGTTTGACCAGGTTTCACTGAACAAGCCTTGTTCTACTCGCACTGCGGCTCGCCCAGTCCTAAGAGTCAACTCTTAGCAACACATTCAACACAAAAGTCACTACATAAAAAATGCACCTAACTACATCTAGCAGACCTTGCCCTCTGACTGGAAAGAAGGATTTTCTAAAAAGGGATCTATCGGCTTCTGGAATACGTGCTGCTTTGGTGCACTAAGCATTCATGTTCTTTCATTTGTCTGAACGGATTGCCACAACAATTTGTGAAAACAATTCTGAGTTCTCTTGGTTTTCATAAAGAATGTGTTTAGGAAAGCATTTAAACAGCTTACAGAGCAAGTTTATAAAGCATCATCCCATTTCCACACAAACAAAATTAATAAGAAAAATTGTACAACGTCAAAATGGTTCTTCAGTAGGAACAGAGGACATTTAAACAGCAACTGAAGGGACGAGAAGTGAGTCTTCATTTGAATGATACGGAGAGCAACCACAAACCCAGTTCCAGGGACAAACTGACTGTAAAAGTCATTTTCAAAAGAAATATGATAGTAGCCATCTGGAATCTGACAAGTCAACACAGTCTTTCAGAGAAACCATCCTGCTGGAACAATTCTTTGGAAGGCCACAGACTGATCACATATGGAAATGTAATCATTCCCCCCGGCACTTCCCCTAGAGGACACTGGCAAAGGAACCATGGACCCATGTGCAGGAAACCTTGGCTTGAAGTACCTGTTCTGTGTCTAAAAGGCTTGGTCTCTAGCTGGTCTATGTCATAGCTTGGTCTATGTCTTAGTGACGCCAGTACTGAATTCAGCACAGAAATTCTGTTTTCAAACACCCTCTCATCAAGTCCTTCCACTGTACCCTCACCTGAAAATGTCACTACAACCCAGTATTCATTATTCCCTTTTGACTCATCCCTAAACCTATCTTCGTGATTCAGGTATATACAGCATTTCCCCTATCCAAACACATGGCCATTTCCTATTGTTGGTTACCTGTGAGCGTCTTGAGTATCGCTATGGATTGGCTAGAGGCACCGGAAATGAGTTCTTTGACCAGGACTGATTGTTCATCAGGTATCTTCTTAAGCGGGTGGCCCCGTGGTAGATCCTCACACATCTGAGCCACTGAATCAAGTTACTACCTCTAGGGAAGCTCCTGCCACACTGGAAATGCAGACTTCTATTTTGGGCTAAGGAAAGGATCAATAAGGTAGTCCCACCTGGGAAGCAGCTGAGTCAGAAAAGACAGAACAAATTATCCTTTATTCTCCTGTTCATGCAGAGACCCACCGGAGCTCTTGCTCGCTGCTAACAGCACAATGGGGGGGAAAAGAGCCTGCACTGACTTCAGTATTGCGATCAAACCTTGCAGGGGGGAAAGGGTTGTAATGGGACCATCTCAGAAAAATGCCAGTTCCCTATGTACCAGATTGGTGCCGTGCTGTGGGGCTCCCCTGGGGTGTCTTTTGGTTCAAGACCTCTCTCCCTTCATGGACTGATGGAAAGCCTTGAAATTAAGCCCCAGAGCTGGGAGCAAGGTGCCTTCCAGCCTGTTCATAAGCCTGTGAAAAACTTGGACAAGACAGTCAGTGGCTTGACAGCAACTGCTGATTCTGGATGCCCCAATTTGAAACAGGGACTGGTTTTCAGAGGTGTTTAATGCCACCCCTCCAAAGGCTGACAGTGGATTAGAGCACCCCCAGCAAGGAAACTCAACGAACAAGACACCCAAAATCCAGGGGGGGCACTTTTGACTCAGTTTCTCCATCAAGGAAATGGGATTGATAAGACCTGCACCCTGGGATGCTGCAAGGCAGAGTACAGAGATGCTGCAGAAAGACAAAACAATTCCTGTTATCCCCAAAAAACCGAAGTGGAGGTACCAACCCACCAACTGCCTTTTGTTCTGGAGAACTCAGCATCTTTCCAGACCTACGGACTATGTCCCGCAAGTCCCTGCTTCCTGGAGCGGAAGGGAAGAAGCGAGGGGGATCCTCTGTGTTTCGAAACCTGCTGCAAAACAGTTAGACTCACAGATTTAAAAACACATCCACTTGGGTTTACCTTGCGTATCTCGTCTTCTGAAAATCCAGGATTCGGGACATGAACATCTTGGCAGTTCCATGGGAATCCAGCTCTGGTTTGTCCAGGGGATGTGGATGGGGGGAGAAGAAGAGGCAAAGCGAGAGGGGGAGGAGGAGAGGAAATCCAGGAGCAGCAGGTTAAATCCCTGAGGCAGGTTCTCAGCTCAGCCACGGGCAGGGGCCGGGGGTGTCTCTGTGATTCCTGCCACCCAAGGAGGAAGCTGCAAGCCTTGGGGGAGCCGTACCAACTTCATCCGCTCTTGCTTTGTCTTCTGGCTCAGGCATGTGGAGGTAGCAACTCACAGGACCAAAGACCAGCTCGCTCGCTCGCTTTCCCCACTAACACAGTGAGTGAGCGTGTGCCTCTGTGCGTGTGTTTAAAATGCTAAGGAGAAAGAAAAAAAAAAATCAAGGCCACGCTCAGGTTCCCCCCGCCCCCTGTTGCACAAGAGAATAATACAGTAAAGACAAAGGCAACCTAAGAGAGACGGTGGGCGAGCGAGGGAGTGTGAGCCGGGTCCTGATGCAACAGAATCAGCTGCTCAGATGTGGAGGAGGGAAAGCAGAGAAGAAAGACAGAGACAAATACAATCCCTCCCTGCCCATGGCCAGAAGGACCTGCCCAATCCTCTTATCCAACGTGGTGACTTGGAGAGGAGCTATAAATACCCCCTGCGGATCAAATGGCAGCAGATTTAAATTTAAAATGTAATTAAGCTGGGGGTGGGGGGAGTGGGGAGAGGGAAGCAGACGGAGCCCCCCGAGGGGCAGACAGGGAGAGGGGATGAAGCCTGGGAGCCCCCACGGCAGGGCTGGGGCATCCCGCAGGGCAATGGAGGAGGGATGCGGCTGGCTGTGCCCAGCACCCCCCTGCTTCAGTCTGGGGCTGTGCTACCAGGTGTAGTCACAAAAGGGTCAGGCAGGGCAAGGCAGGGTTCATCCTGGGTTCCCATCACATCACCCCAATCCGCCGAGCATGCTTGCTGGACCTGCCAGCCTGAGGGGACCTGGGGTCGCTCCTATTCATGCCAGAAGCTGTGAGGAAGACAACCTGGGCTCAGTTTGCCTAAGGAGGGGACAGCGGGGAAGCAGCTGGCTCCACACCACATGGGTTTCCCCACATTAAACCGAGCTGAGCCCACGAGAAATGGGCGCCCGTGTCAAGAGGGAGCAGGGTTCGCGCCAGGTTAGCAGAATGGTTTGATGCCCTGTAAATGTGACCTGCTCCCTTCTGTGCGCCTGTGTCAACAGGGGGTGGAGCTCGCACTGGGTTAGCAAGACAGTTTAGCGTGCTCTAAATGTTACGCCTGCCCACACCCCTCTCTATGCCCTTGTCAATGGGTTTCACCACCAGATTGGCAAGACAACTTGGAGCACTCTAAATGTTACGTCTGCCCACACCCCTCTGTGTGCCCAGGTCAACAGGGAGCAGAGCTCACACCGGGGTAGCAGGATGGTTTGGAACATGTTCAGTCTCTCTTCGGAGCGCTCTAAGTGTTGTGTCTGTCCACAGCCCTCTGTATGCACCAGCCAATCTGGGAGGATCTATTCTAGGGGGAAAGCAGCTTCCACTTCAAGGGGCAATTTGAAACCCACATCAATAAATGAATGCAGCTTCACATGTGGGCTCTTATCAAAGGAGTTAAGCCCAGTTTTTAGCCATGTAGCTTGCACCTGCCACTATAGAGCTGGGATCTCAGGCTAGATTGTTTACATGTGCAACTTGAATGGCAATTGCCTCAAATTAGCCTTGACTGTCCCAGGGCAAAATGCTAATCCAGATACATCACGGGGGACAGTGAGTGTGTGCAGTCTGTGAGATCCCAGGTTAAAATTCTTTGTCCTGGAAAAAACCAGAAGGGTGATTTTAGCCTCAATGGCCAGTTCAAAAATGATATAGAAAAACTTGGCTAAATCCAGCTTGTGTGCAGCCTTGTATCAGTATGAAACCCACATGTTCAAGCAGAACAGCAGCCCCCAGGTGTGAGTGGGGTAACAGCAGGATCCAAAGGGGTTTATTCCAGGAGAGTTTATCCTCCTAAATTAGGGGGTTAAATTATACCAGCATAAGATACCCTTAGCCCATTATTGTTGCACTGTCATTGGAGGCTGGGCTAATCTAACTTCCAATCTAAATCACATCCTCAACCCAAATCGCTAAATCAATACCTGTAACATAGCTGGGTTTGGGCTGGTTTCACTAAATCAATCTTTATGAACTGGTGGAAGTAGTGCAGCTGGTGTGCGTAGAGAGAGCCTCCATCTGTGAAGTGATGTGCGCACACTTCAAAGCCCATGAGATATCTGGAAACTGTTTCCACCTCTCTTAGCCTGGGGGGGAAATCTGCAAGCTGAGTTAGGGGGGCGGGGTCTAGGTAAAATACTGTTTTCTAGATAAAAGAGAAGCAGGAGGCGTTCACATGGTTGCAGCAAATACCTGCCCATTTATAATATTAACAACTAATGTCTCAAGATGAAGCTAAAGGTGTCCAATATTTTTCCCTCTCTTAAGGCCTTTGGACCTATAGCATCCATCGTGTAAAGTGGAAACCATATATATTACCCTGCAGATGTGTAACCATCTGTGACCACATACTTTCAACACCATGGTCACCATTTAACTATGGGCATGTATCATTAATAGTATTACAGTCTATCACTGCCTGCTAAGGAAATATGAAGACATGTTTTAACATTACTATTGATTTGCTATCATATACTATGACACTATGCTCCTATGATTTAAGTTGCCTTGTTAGCTGGCTGCCCAACATGAAACACCTTCAGCCTCATTTTTAGAGATGCTGAGTGCTCACAGCTCCTTTGGAAGCTGCAGAACGATGCTCGTTGCCTTTGAGAGATCAGCTCCAAAACATCTTAGACTGGATGTACAAAACCAATGGTTTTGGCCCAAGTCCCTCTCTAGCTAAGTAAGGTCTTTACAGACACAATCAGTGGAAGCAACCTGTCTGCTTGCAAACAGGCACGGTGTGTTCTGTCCAGCAGAGGCTGGCCGTATACACCATGCACACCGATGCGGGCATATACAACATTTCATAATCTGATGGACAATGCACATGCTTGTACTCAGAAAAGCCAAAGAGAACAGCACACTTTCAAGGGCTGTGGCTGAAAAAGAAGCAGGCTGCCTGCTCCATGAATTTAAATGAGGGAGGGGTGGTGAAGGAGACAGAGCAGCACACAGCTTTCATCCCGCTCGCGGCATGTGGACGTTCAAAGCAATGTTCAAGCTCCTTGGCAAGGGCTGGGAGAGTCAGAATCCAGTAGAGGCATTACTCTCTGTTTTGGGGCTGATAAGGCTTATACAGGGAGGCTTCTCAGGGATTAACAAGTTTAACAAGAGTTGAGGTTGGTGCACTTGGTATAAAATTCCCAGTATCCCCACAGCAGCATTTTTCACTTCTCTGTTACAAAAGAACAGCAAGAAATTGTCCCACAGGAAAGAACGGGATTTCAGAGTAAGGCAGCCAATGCACACTCCCTGCTTACTTCCGCACAATGTTCCCACCCTAGTGATAGCCACTGAATAGAAGAGTGGCACATTTTTTCTAAAATGGGGGTGGGGAGGAGAGGAGAGGTTGGGTCAAAAAGGTCTAGGCTCTTACTGAATGGGCATGTCTACACGTTCATTAATGCACAGTGCCTGCTCCCTATTAAATTTAGCACTTGCAAAAGAAAGTACTAAATAACTGTGCAGTGGGCTGCTCTAGCGCACGTCAGCGCAATCACATGCTTTTTTCATGACGGTTCATGTGCAGTAGACTAATACTACTGTGCATTAATGTAATAGCACAGTTTTTGCCGTGACGCTGTAACGAGCAATCCGTCTACTGTGCCTTAAGTGCTGTGGGTAGGTGCGCCCAGTGACTAGGATTGATGGAGAACAGAGGAAGGTTTGCTGCTAAATCCACGTGCTTCGGAAAGTGGCAATATGGGCCCTGTTATGGAACGGCAGGAGATAGCGAAGCCTGCTGAGATGGAAAGACCAGATCCTGGGAACTGACACAGGTGACGACACAGTACCTTTACCCAACCTAGCACTATGCGACTCTGGGGGTCCTGACTTGCAATAGCCAGTGCTGCAGTGCAGCAGTGTTATCTTAAGTGATATGGTGCGTGCTAAGTGCCATGCTAAGATTTCTAAGCTGGTTTAGCTAGCAACATTAGGAAGATTTGAACCCTGACTACCGTCCCACCCAGCTCCATCTAACTGAAATCCAGAACTCATCTCATTGCAGGAACATCCCAAAGCAAATATAGCTAAGACTCCTACTGGTCGGTTCTTTCGCTGTGAGACTACTTTGTGTGCGATGCACCCAACTCTTCTTGATGTATTTCTCTGCAGGCTGAAGCCTGGATGTGAAACAAAAACATAAACAGATGATTTTTGAATATTTCTCTATTTTTTTAAAAAACAGACTTGGTCATGCAGCTTCCTCATGGCTCTTTGTTTCCATACATTTAGTGTCACGGTGTCGTTGGGGACACCTGAAGGGCCTGTTTTGAAATTTGGAGCTGGGACCTACACAACCCAAAAGGGACAGGAGCGACAACATTTGAGAAGGGAGAGGCCAGGGGCAATGGAAAGCAGTTGATCTGTGTCACTTCTCTAATCTACTGTCCCATTGATTTGTAGCACCTGGCAACATGTTGTCCGGCAACATGTTGTCCGGCAACACTTGTGTTCAGGTCATCTTTGAGATCCTCTCCTATGTTCTACCACTTGGAAATGTATTTCTAATTCCTTCTCCAGCCCTCCTGGTTTTAGAGAGGCTTTTGCAAGTGCTCCTTAGTGGTGTCCGCTTTTTGCTATGCTTTTGGATACTAATATACGGTCCGGGAGGAGAGGAAAAGGTGACAACCGATGCTTAATTAAATGAAGGTGCGATTCCCCTGAGGGCCAGTCCCCGTACAGCACTGTGCCTGGGGGCTGTGGAGTTCATCAGAGAGGGACACCTGAAATAAACTGTCAGGACCAAAATAGATTTGGCTCAGAGGGGAAAAGGCAAATTGAACGAAAAATAAGTTACTATTTTTGAAGCCTGGATTCAGTTGTTATGGCAACGGTAAAGTCTCACGAATCATGCTGCAGAATAACTCCAGTCCTGGAGCTGCATCTGAATCCGACGGGCAAATAATTGCATTGAACTGCAGCTCGTCTTGGGGGCAGGCAGTTCACCCACATCCCAGCCATGCAATTGGATGAGCAGGACAGGACCCCCACCCACCGCCTCCACCGTGTTCAGAGATCTCCCCCACAACCCGCTCTCCATGGGGTTCAGGCTCTCCTCCTCCCACATGCTGCCTCAGAGAGATGAATAGCTCCCACTGACATTAAGGACAAGGAACAGCCTGGAGCTGGAAAATTGTGGCCTGGGTGTTTTTCCATGGCACCTATCCAAGCTAATGTTACCCACTTTGACCCAAGTTGCTGGCAAATGGTGCAATGTTTGGCTGGTGGTTCCAGCTAGGGGGAGAAATCGATAATGGATAAGTGATAATGGACTCAGGTGCCCCTGATGCAACTGATAATGGATAATTGATAATGCAGACAGGTAGCCCAGGTGCAATTCTGCTGATGTAC